TTTTTTTTGCACTCTTGTTGTCCTATGTTCATTCGTTCGCAGTAATTTTCCAGGTGTTAATTTTATACGTCGGTGCTGTAAATTGGAACACGGTGTGGAGTAATTTGTTGCGAGATTTAGCTTTTGTGTTCTGCTGGAGTCGGCCAGCTCGATTGGACGACGTCTCCGTCGTATTTCAGGATTTCCGTTTCCCTTGGTCCACTGCATTTATTCTCATCCATTCCCAATTTATACTACGTACGTAACGTACGCTCGCATCCAAACACACACACATGCAAACATCGAGGAACAAAAAGGGCTTTGGAAAATTGAGCAAAATTAACTTTGACCCTTCTTCCAATCATTTTTTTTGTATATATCAAATTCTTTGCACGAGATAAATAAAATAAAAAGGGAATTGAAAAAGGAGGACAGCCTTTATGGGGTGACGAACGATGTTCAGAAATGATGTATCTCTGAGGAAACTGAGGTTTTGTGTGCGAGAAACTTGCTATGGACTTGTTGGGGCGAAAAAAGAATGAGAGATTTCGGGTAAAAAGCGAGGTTTCAAGGAGATAAGATTAGCAGTGGAAACGGCCGAGGAATATACAGTTTCTTTGTATCTTCAGATAAAGTTTCTCCCAAGTTTTATATTAGTATAAAAGTTAACAAAAGTAAGTCTGCTATACTCGTTTTGTTCGTAATAATTACTTTAATCTTTACACATGAATGTGTGTGTTTCTTTTATAAATAATAAAATTATGATAATCTGTAGATTTTCAAATTGATTGGAAACATTCTTCAAGTTCTTTGTCTTTGTAGAGGCAAAAACAGAATCTCTTTTGATGTTTCTTTCTTATTGTAATTAAATTGATTTATTGCTGAGGTCATCTTTGCTTTTGCGAATCGATTGGATAGATTCTTCGGGCTGTTGCAAGAATACAAAAAAAAGAGTGATTTGAAGATGTTAATCCGTTGATTGAATGAGTTAGCCTCCGGTTATTAATAATAATAATGCTGTTATTGTGGAGTCAATAAACTGAGTTTAACGAAACGACAGCAGCGACTAACAACAACAACAACAAAAGTGGATAAATTGCGAACGGAAAGAGAGAAACAAGCAAGCAATAAGAAACAAAAGCAGAGTTTGCAAGGCGACGATCACGACAACCTTGACCACTCGTTATATCATCGCGTTTGTATATAAAGACCGGCCGGATTACCATGAAGTGACCAGTGTAATTCGAAGCCTTGCAGACTTCTCCAGACATCTCCAATAAAAAAACCTACATCAATATCATCGAGTGAGTATAGAACCTCATCGATTTTTCGCAAATTTTCGAAATATCCGGACACTTTTTCCGGTTTTGCAGATACTGCAATCAACCCAATTGGTGTTGTTACAAATTTTCGGTATTATTTATGGTGAGAGCGTATATGTAAATTCGTAATTTTAAACCATGCGGAGCGAAATGTGGCAGGGTGATTATTCTTCATATATATCGGATGGGTGTGTGATTCATGCACTGTTCGCCGAAACAAATGCAATTTTTCATTGGAAACGAGAGAGGAAAAGGGGCATAAATAAACTTGCGCGATTTATACGTGCAACGAGACCACTCTTCACGTGTTATTTTGCAAAAGGCCATTCATCATCACCGAAACGCGAACAACAAAAATAATGATACAAAAATGAACAACATTGAAACGAGCAATGGGGAATGATAATAAAAAAAAAAATCAAGTGCCCTCGGTTCGACCTAAAAAATAATTGGAGTCCTTCTTCGGGTTTGCGGTTCAAAGGTTGTCATGGTAACTGCCCCGGATTTATTACGCACCGTATGCGATCATTAAGGACGGATTAAGCCACCATTGGCGTTTAATTACCGAAATAGAAGAATGGGGTGAAATCACCCCTTTTTTAACCTTTGCTTTGTTGTTTTACCTTTTTAACCATATTATTTTGAATTCTATTTACTTAATTTTAATTTTTATGTTATGGAGTAACCATAGTAACAGTAACACTATAACAACATTAAATAATGCTTACCAACTGTCATTTATTACATAAGAGGTCCCTAGCAACAAAAGCAGTATCCATAACAACAGTAAATCATCTGTTACATGAACCAAAACACATATTTAACATTTGGATTTGTAAAGTTTTACGAATACTACAATACGTCAATCCATTCATTCCAACTGCATAAAATTTAAATAAAAACGCGTTTTTCTTTTAAACTGAATCGTAAAAGTTGTGAGAAGTTTCCTTCAACAACCGGTATTTAATGATACTCAATTGACTTGTGGTGATGTAATTATTATTTCATTCTTATTTTTTCTTAAAATATTTTTTTTTATAAATAAGTGTTGGGAATTCCAGTATTTTAAAGTGAGTAGTAAAGATTATAAAAACATTAATTAATAAGTAGATTTCTTTTATAATTTAATTAAAATGTTACAAAAATCAATCGATGTTGTTAAAGTTTGCTGTGTGAGAATATTAACAAATGTTATAATCTCTCTGGTTATAAATAAATATTTTATATGAATGATTGATGAATGTTTGAGGATTTTTAAAATTGCATAAAACACGCAGAAGAACGCCCCAATAAATATTTGTACAACAATTAAACGTGCATTATTTACGAGGTGAACGAGTGAAATATTTAAAGTTTTGTTTTGAAAGTGAATGAAAATGTTTGCAACTCTAATTTTCGTACGTCGTACGTGAAATATTTGCATTGGAGATTGAAGGTGGATGAAACAGAGTGAGAAAATAACAAATATATGATTGAAGCGCAAAATCTTGCGAATATTGTGAGCGTCGCACGTGAGATATTTGCATTCGGGAATTCCAATTCGAATTTCTAAGAAAAGCCGAAGAATCAAAACCGATATTCTCTGTTTGTTTATTATAGAAAATAAGTGGAAGATGTATTGGAATAAACATGAATGGGAAATAATTAACAAATGTGATAAGTTTAATTAATTGTTGAATCAATTAAATATTAGTTGATTGATGCTAATGAATTAATTAAACTGTATTGGCTAAATTTTATTAAATAGTTCAAAGTTCCCAGATTGCTGAAACATTTTATTTTCTGAAATCATAAAAGTGTTGCATTTCAGTATTTATTAATATTTTCAATTTATACTCGGTTCTGTTTACGACGTCTAGACTGAAGAAATATAGTTAATTCTCCGAAGCTTTTAAGCTTTCCACGAGGGAAATAACAAATGAACGAAAGATCTTCCGCAATCTGTACGCAATTTGTTTATTTCTAAACAATTGCGTTTTTTATATTATAAATTTATTAATCACCACGACGATTTTATATATTCGTTGCCATGGAAATAAATTGAAAATTATTATGATTCCGATGGTGGTTTTTAATAAGTTTGGCAGTCACGAAGGGATGGAAATAAACGATGGTTGTTGAAGGACTTTTGCAGGCGAGAGAATTAATTCCTCGGTCGCAGCAGCAGGAAAGGACGAAGTTTCGGAATTAATAAGGAGTTAGTTGGAGCGGAACGGAAAGCGCGGAGAACTTAAATTTAAGTAGCACTTAAACGGTTCGGTCCGGACACCGGGAATTCCCTTCAGCAATTTTCAACTGCAACTTTTTCCATTTTGCTCGTTTTGTTTCTATTCTATTTTCTTCTCTCCTGCACTTTGCGTTGAGATGAATCTACTGAGACGGGATTAAAGCTGAAGGATTTTTTTTTCTTGCAGAAATGCTGAAGTATTTGCTTTTGGTTGCTTTGTGCGCGGTCGTAGCCAACTGCGAGTTGAAAACACCTTGCGCCGGCCTCTTTGAGTACACTAAACAGGATGAAACTGGAAGATGGGAAGGTGTTTTGAACATCAAGAGCGAGTACACTTTGCACGGAGTTTGGATCAGGATCTTCTTGGATGGAGCCGTTTCCGATGTTAAACTTTTGGTGAGTTTTGTAAAAACCTACGAAATTATATAACTGCAAATACGTGCAGGATTTCATAAACGTGTGTAACAATGAAAATATTATTTGTATCTCTCTGTTTGTTGTGAATGGAAATGTAATGAATATACAATAGAATTAACCAAAGGGAAATAGTGAAAATTTCCAAATGAAATAACTTTAATCATCAAACAATACAAACGTGAAAATGTTTGTTTTTATTCGATTGACGCAATTTCAGCGAACAATTGCTCAATTAAAGTAAATAAATATTTTGTATGCTTTTGTAGGAAACCCAAGGTGAAGTGAAGAAAACTGATGGTGATTCCAAGGTGAAGGACTTCCTGATCAAAAACCGCGACTTGCTGCTGAAGAAGGATGAACCGGCTACCATCAAATTCTCCGTTGCTTACGAAGGCAAGAATCCACCTGCTTTCGCTGGTTTCAGGCTGAACGCCAGGACTTTGTGTCCAGTCGGAGAGGAATAAAAGGATAACAATGATGCTTAATTTTTATATTGTATTGAAGGAAAATACTCATGATGAACAAATAAAAAAAAATGATGATTTTAACTTAATTAATTTGATTTTTTTATTAACGTGAAGAAGAAAAATAATCCAATTAACTTTTGTTTAGTGAATGAAATAAAAGAAAGATTAGATGCGAAAAATAATTGGATCTAAAAAGAAACGGACTGTAGTTGAAAGGTCGTCATGGAAACTGTCGGCATTTATTATGTACGGTGTATGAATCATTAAGTGCGGATTATATCACAGCTTACTTAATTCATTTTTCGTAGTTTAATCTTCGTCGCTTCTTTTTATTTTTTCACATGAAAGAATGAATAATTGTAATGGACAAAAGTAATAATTTCAATTGACTCTCATGCTCATTTTTTTGCAAAATAAACTACACAGTCTTACACAATAATTATCCGATATTGGATATTTCTTTGTTCAACCATTCTTAAATGTGTATAATAATGAAAAACATTTTTAACGAGCATCTAAAAAAAATGTATGAAATTATGCTTAAATAACAGTTATTAAATGCGTTTAATTCCTGGATTTTATTCAACAACTTGTATATATATACTGTAGAATTACTCACATATGTTTAGTTTGCATGTACAAATACGTGTGAAACGAACTTAAACATTCTTCCAAGATTATTATTTTGTTGTTATTCTTTGTATGTAAGTAGGATCAAAGGTGAAGGAATTTCTGTGCCGAGATGCTGAGGAGGTATTTGCTTTTGTTGGCTTTGTGTGTTGCGTCATCGAAATGCGAGTTGAAGTCACCCTGCGCTGAACTCTTCGAGTACACCAAACAGGACGAAGTTGGAAGATGGGAGGGCGTCGTTAACGTGAAGAGCGACTGCAAATTGCACGGACTCTGGATGAGGATCTTCCTGGAAGGAGACGTATCCGAGCTTAATCTTCTTGTAAGTTCAACATTTACAAGCATTTTGTATAATAGAAATTTAACTTTACAGTTTCATGGTTCAAAGAACAAAACGATTTAAATATCATTACTATATTTGCATAATATTCTAGTTTTAATCCTATACGAAACTAAGATAATTTACTTTAACACTTTTAGTATAATTAAATTTAATTCTTTCACTTTATTTTCTGCGTTAAAAAGAAACTTATTCATTATGACAATAAAATTGTACAAAGACTCGTAAATACTTTCAAATTGAAGCAATTCAAAAATTTTCGAAGAGATCAAAAGAACCGTTACATAAAATGTTTATATATGAATACTTTCAAAAGCTATCCATATTGTTGGGGGCTTTTTACGAGTTTTGATAGCCTCAAATATTCTTTTTACTTCTCTATACAATAAAAATCGTATAAAGACCGAAACGATGCTTCTTCACTTTTTCCCTTCCAACCGCATTTCCTTTCATTTCTCCGCATTCTTTATTATTTCCATTATACGATGCGCAATAAAGGAAATCTAGCTGACTGCAAAGATTTTCGATGACGACGCTCAATCTCAAATGATTGATATTTACATCAATATTACAAACGATAAATGAAAATTGAAAAGAAAAAAAAGTTTATTTTCTCCTTGATTTGATTGATTTTCTTTTTTATTATTACAAACATGAATTTCAATTGAAAATTTTACATTTGATTGCAATACGTTTTGAGTTTTTTAACATATGAAATCAAAAAAAAAAAAGAAATGCATGTGTAATATTTATATAAATATGTTGTTGTTTTTCTCTCTCTTTTCTCATCGGAACGGCAATGGGTTTCGGTTTAATTGGAACCAGAACTATTGATTTTCGGGCGGGTTTTCCGTGGACGGGTTTGCGTTCACGTTCCATTTGAGGAAAAGGCAAATAATAGAGTTTTCATGCGCTGCAGGAAATATTTCCGCAATCAACAACACTAAACAAAAAAACAACAATCTGTTGCCGTAGGCGGAAAACCCTTTTCAAAAACCCATCTCAAAATCAAGGCCGTTTGATCCGGAAATTCTAGATTTTTCCCCATCCTAATAAATTCTTCTCCCGAAAAGGCAACGCATTCACATGCACGCAATACGGAAATTTACGTTTCCATCCTCGAGATCCCTTGTCTCTCTCTCACTTTTTAATCTTCTCTAATTAAAATGAGTCGAAAGACGAGGAAGCCGGGAAACGCGAACACGGTGAAACGTATTATTTCACTTTGCTTCAAAATTAATTATTCTCTCTGCGCGCTGCAACGAATATCTTTCTTCAATGTAACTTTTATCTTTCATTACGTTTCTTTCCTCAGATCCACATGAAAAATAATGAAAATATTAATATACTTTTTAAAATTTAATGAAATCCGCGTCCACTAAAACTTGATAGTTAAATTATTAACACATTGCGTAACAAATTAATTGTTTTTTTATGAATTGATGGGTTTTTTTTAAGTACAATTGTCACATTTTCAATTGCGTATAGAGTTTTGGTGGCTGTCGCATTTGCATTCACCGAGCCCGAAAACCGAGTATCGATCGTTCCCCGGGAGTCACGAGAGCTGCTGCTGCTGCTGCTCCTGTTGGGGACGCAGCTGGAGACGGAAGCCTCCGATTGTTTGATTCCCGGCACTATTTAGACCAGGATTATATTCGATAAAGCCCCAATTCCCAAAATCCTGTTGAAACTCTAAGACAATTCCTACTTGAATGTATACACAATCAAAAGTGTAATTAATTTATGTTTTCTCTATTTTTTTTTAGAATATCGAAGGTGAAGTGAAGAGTTTGAAACCAAAAACTAATGGTTTCATTATAATCAATCCCGATTTGATAACAATGAAAAATGTATTGGTTCCTATCAAATTCGCTGTTGTTTACGAAGGAAACAATCCTCCGAATCTTAGTGGAATTAGACTGAATACAAGAACTTATTGTCCAGTTGGAGCTGATTAATAATCATAACTAATGTTTGTTTCATTTGTTTTTATTAGGGAAAGGATAAAACGTTTCAAATAAAGAATAAAAAAAATAATACTAATCATTTATTAAAGATTAAAATTTACTTTATTCTAACTAAAACATTAAATTTATAAGATAAATGGAAAAAATTGAATTGGCACATTGTTCTGTCAAATTGACATTGACATTGATTAGAATTTCCATTAGAGGTGAGATAAGTGTATTAAGCTGTATGCATATATAATTTGTTGATGTTCCATCGCATTAGCGGATTAATTATACAGTGTTATTCGTTGGTTACAAAACACAAACAATCGAATGTATTTGTACGAAATGAATGTTTATTTTGGAAACGCAACGAATGTCCGAACACCGCAAAGTGTATCGATGGGCAACGGTTTGTTTTTGTTTCTGTTTTGATGGCTCTGGTAATTAATTAATTAATTGGATTCCACGTTTAATCCATTTAATTTCCTGGTTTGCTCTTGTTTTTGTTTTGTGTGTGTGCGTGCGAATATCGGCATATTTAATTAAAAGCCTTTTGTGCTCAGATCATTTTTGCTTGACCTGTTGATTTCATTTCAAATCAATTCAACTGTCAAATTAAATATGGTCATAGTTCGTTGGAAAACAAAAGAATTAATACAAATGTCAAATTATATGTCATAATTGTTTGAATCGTAGACGTGTCAATGTGACGTAAGGATATTACAAAAAAAAAATGTAGTGTATTGAGAATGTTTGGATTGTGTAAGGAATTCAATGCATTTTCCGTTATGCACGTCGATTCTCTCCGTTCGTTGGTGAATTGATGGAGGAAATGGGCAACAACCGCATTTCAATTACGCCCGGAAATGCAATCACGTCACATAATCGAAGCGGGCTGGGTAATTGACATCGACACATCAATTTAGTTTTGTATGTATCCTTCGAGGAACAGCGACTTTAATGATCGAAATATAAAAAAAAAAATAGGAAAGTTTTAGTGTTGTCGAAACGTCCGGTCATGGTGAACGTCACCAGAAAGTACGATGTCACCTACATCCGAACGGTGTACTGGATAGGAAACGCTCTTGGAATATGTCCGATCTACGATTTCGAACTGAAAGAGTTGAAACATAAACATGGATATAAGATTTACTTAATATTGGTATGCGTTGCTTATACCATTGGGATTTACTTCAGCATGGCTGAGGTTTACAGGAACGTCTTGACGAGGATGCCTTTCCTTCAAGCCTTCAACGCATGCATCATGACTCTAACCTTGAATTTGCATCCGTTGATTAACGTAGTTCAAGTCTTTAGATACAGTAAACTGTGGGAGGATTACTTCAGAGGAGTCCAGAATATTGATAGATATTTCAGACGGATTTCGCGACCTCAAAAACGTAGCTTTTATTTGCCGGAGTTAATCTCGGGGCATCTGATAATCTCCTACGTTGTCTTCGGGATGCTTGCGTTCAGATTGCTGAACGGACGGCTTCCTGATTACGAAACGATGGACTTCTTCTGCAGATACTCGCTGTACGTCAGATGCATTTTGATTTACAACTTCGTGATCTGCTTGGGTCACAGATTCGCGACGTTGAACGAACACAACTTTCATTTGAACGACGTTTACAACATTTACGTTAAACTGGGAGATTTAATAGAAACGTTCAATCAACTTTTTGGTTTAGATTTGTTAATGCTCTTCATGGACATGTTATTCAACATCGTGCTGTTCATCAACGTTCTTCTCTATCCGTTCAGAGCGAAAACTCCATGGGAAATACCCATGCAAAGTGTACGAATTATCCATGGATTCTTCATTTTAGTAAGTAAAATATCATTACTATTTACAAATTAAAACATAATTTAACTGCTTAGCAATACAAATAAATAACTAACTACGTAACTAAAAATTGATTTTACAATAAAGTTAAATTTATCAATTATAATCCGATTATCGATTCGAATGTTACACGAATTTCTTTCATAAAGTGTCAAAGTTTTATTGGAGGAAATGGATTTCTACTACATTCTAATTACAACAGAAATGCAATTTGGGGGGCTGATACACAATGAAAAGGTAATTTTGGAAAATCATTATTTTTTTGTATCCATTTTTAGAAGAAACTTTGGTGAGAAAGTTTTTAGTGCGTAAGAAAGACTCAAGCATGGTGCACGTGAACAGAAAGTATGATGTAACTTATATAAAGTTCTTCTACAAAATAGGAAACGTATTTGGAATCTGTCCTATTTATGATTTCGAGTTGAAAAAGTTGAAACGAAAAGAAGCAAATCGGATCTATCTAGTTTTAGTATTTACTGCTTTCTCGATCGGATTGTGTTTTAGCATGTACGAAGTGTATACGCACGCTTTGATCCGGATGCCTCTTCTTCAAGCCATCAACACCGGAATCGTACCTTTAAGCAGTAACTTACATCCTTTGATCAACATTGCGCAAGTATTAAATTCGATGCAGCTTTGGGAGGATATTCTGAAGGGCATTCAGAATGTGGATAGATACTATAAGAACGTATCTAAATCGAAAAAGTGGAGTTGTTATTGGACTGAGTTTACTTTCATACACGTGGTAATGTTTTACGTTTTGATTGGAATGATCGTGTTTCGGCTCTTGAATGGACGACTTCCCGATTACGAGATCATGAGCATCATTTGCAGATACTCGACGTGTGTCAGGTACATTTTAATGTACAACTTCGTGGTGTGTCTGGGTCATAGATACGCGATGGTGAGCGAAAACGTTGTAATGTTGAACGACGTCTTCAATATTTACGTGAAGTTAGGTAATTTAGTGAAGACGTTCAATCGACTGTTTGGATTGGATATGCTTATCCTCTACATAGACATGCTCTCCAATATAGTGCTCTTCTTCAACGTGCTTCTTTTCCCGTTCAGACCGAAGTATTCTTGGGAGATTCCCATACAATCCATACGCATCCTTCACGGCTTAGTCTCACTTGTAAGTTACTAACAATTATTGAAGCATTAATCTTAATTTATGAAATTTGATTAACTGTGTATTAAATTCTGTATGGAGACTGACTGAAGCCTGGAATTTTGGGAGCGGAATTTCCCTAATCCGAATTGCGTTTGATAATTACTCCGTTTTGCATATTATCTGCTTCCATTGATGATTAATTGATGGTGATTCTGGCGCCGAAATTTCAATTTGCGCTCGAAATGGAATCACGCGAACGAACGGGCTAAATGGATGTGTTGTCTATTAGGAGTGAATTGATATCGACGCAATTGAGGAATTCAGTCAGGGAAAGTTTCAGTGCGACGAAAATTCTCGGTGATGGTGGACAGAAAGCACGATATCACGTACGTGAAGTTTGTCTACGGGATGGGAAACATCTTTGGTGTTTGTCCCATCTACAGCTTTAGCACTAAACAGTTAATTTGGGGAAGATCTTATAACTTTTACTTGGTTTTTGTATGCGTGGCTTATTTGATTGGAACGTATTTCAGCATGGCCGAAGTTTACAGGCACGCTTTATTCAGGATGTCCTTTTTGCAAGCCTTCAATGCGGCCACGATGACTTTAAGCCTAAATCTTCATCCCGTGATAAACGCTCTGCAAGTTTTGAAGTACAAGACACTTTGGGAGGAATTCCTCAGAGGGATGCAAAACGTGGATAAATACTTTCGAAAGATCGCTAAACCGAAAACGCTCACTTTCTACTGGATTGAACTAATTGTAGGTCACTTGGAAATTGCGTACGTAATCTTCGGGATGATAGCTTTTCGTCTCTTGAACGGAAGACTTCCCGATTACGAAACCATGGATACAGTGTGCAGATACGTTCTGTACATCAGATGCATCTTGATCTACAACTTCGCCGTCTGCTTGGCTCACAAATTCGAGACTTTGAGCGAGAATGTGGTAAGCCTGAACGACGTGTACAATATTTACGTGAAGCTGGGAGATTTGGTTGGAACATTTAATCGGCTCTTCGGCTTCGACTTGCTGCTGCTCTTCATAGACATGCTGTCCAATATCGTCCTCTTCATCAACGTGCTGCTCTATCCCTTCAGGGTGAAAACCCCTTGGGAAATTCCCATGCAGTCCGTACGAATCGTTCACGGATTTTTCACTTTAGTAAGTCAACACACACGCACATCCTTTATTCGATTTCTTCAAAATAAATTGAAAATAATGATTTTTCACTCTGAAACTTTTTATAATCATTTCACAAAAGCAAACATCTCAAATTTATATTCAGAAGAAAATTGCTACTATATCGAAAATAAAATATATTATTTGTATTCATTCCCATTTTCTTTTTACAAGACGCGACAATTTTGACAGCTTATCACAAGA